CATGTTCCGGAGTATCTGGCTCTTATTGCCTAACCTTTTGAACTGCATTGATAGATTAACATCCGCCTGAAACTTCGTAAATAGCTTCATCTCATTGCAACCTATAACTATTTTATTTACGAAAACTCTTTGTATTGGGGCGTTTTCTATCTGGAAAGGAGCAAACTTTGTCTGTTTAATTAGGTTCTAAAACCTCGTAAACCTACCTTTGCTTTCTATTTGGAAAATATTGAGCCGTTTGGCGTGACGTACACCCCCGAGATTTCCAAATAACGAGGTTCTATAGGACAATCGGCACAATATTCTGTAGGCCACCTTTTTTATCTATTTTGTGATCAAGATATCTTACGATTAAAGTGTAAAGCAAATGTGTATTTACGAATTTTTAGTACCAAATTAAATAGATAAAGTTTGCCCCCCTCCAGATTGAAAACGCCCCAATTCCGAGAGTTTTCGTAAATGAAATAGTTGTAGGTTACTATGAGATGGAACTATTTACGAAGTTTCAGGCGGATGTTAATAATTCGGAGGGATCTGTACAACGGACTACGTGATTTTGTATGGATCTATACCTAATTGTGAATAAACGAGGAAGAATGATAGATATTAAAAATAAGAGTTATTAAAAGTCATTCGGAACAATGATATTATTGGACCTTTGTTAATCCTTAATTACGAACGATCATAGTCTGTCGGTTGTAGCTTGATGCTGACCCCTGGCTGGAGCTATTTAGAAAGCAGTGCCGTGCCGCTGCCCGCCTTATTAATTCACTCCGCTCCAATAGAACGCTCGATTGGTTTTCTCTTTTCATTTTCCGCTGGGGTTCACTTGTCAGCGGGTCGGCTTTCCATTCCGACGGCAAAGTGGAAAAGATAGATCTTGATAGATTAAGTAGGCATTGGTGTATTAGTTCAATAATGGCAGAGCATTTTTTTTTTTTTTTTTTATATAGAGAAAATACCTTGGAGGTGATCTGAAAAAGATAATTTGTTTGGTAGTGGGTTCCAAGGTAGAATAGAATTTTTTTATTTTTAAATTTCTTTATTTATTGAATAGTATAACATTATGTCACTTAGACATTGGTTGTATGGAGGTAACGTCATATTCACACTATATGAACAAAAATATATAAAATAAACAGAAGCAAAGTAACAACTAAATAATATTTTAAAAAGTATATACAATAAATAAAATAAAACAACTTAAAAATAAGTAAATTAAAAAAATAAAATAAAAACACCTACACACTGTAAATAACCTGTTGGGCGACAAATGTAAATAACTTTGTTCGGGCAGTAATTGTAAATAGCCTTCCGTTTTGTCGAGGGTCTTGGTTATATACACTCGTGAATTTAATTTTCTTAAAACAAAACCCCGGCAATGGATATAAACTTTTTGAGGTTGTGTGGGAATTCGGGAACCTGATGCTTTTGTGACACTAAATGACAATAAAAATAAGAAAACATATTTATGAAAGATGGGACTGAGTAGATACACTTTGAATGAAATGACTCACCTGGTTTGTTTTTCTTTAATTGTGAGGCCTATGGGACAATTAAATAAATAAATGACTTTTCACTCCTGTCTAACAAAATAATTTATTTTGACTACTGTAATAAGTGAATATATTAAAGTATCATAACTGTAGGCTTGATCTTCTTAATCTTCTGTGTAGTGCCTCTCTCCTCTGGTAACCTTCCTTCTTCCTCTCTCATTATCATGTAAGTTCTTCTTTCTTTTCCCGCGTCCTTCTCCGGCTGCTGCAACCTACCGGCCCTTTTCCAGGCTTCTTTGTTTCTTTGTTCTGTACCTTTTTCGTCCATTGTTTATCGATTAGTTACTTTTCAATAAACAACTTGTCTATTGCATAATTGACCCTAGTGCAACCCTACATTCCTATACACTCCTTCTCATTCTCTCACTCAATCTCACATTAAGGAGTAAATACTAGAGCCCATCTACTGCAACACCTAGCATAATATAAATTAAATTAATATTTAATCAGTAGTTAACTGGAGTGATTTTAAACCAAACAAGAAGTCCTCACACGGGTCATTGCCCATCAGAGATATGTAAATGATACTCTCCCGCAAGGTCGAAGGCGCAAGGACCCCTTCCCCCCAAGATATTTTATTGCTCACCATTTTATATAAACAGAGCAAGGGAAAGTCGATTTAGAAAAATCGTAGATCGTAGATTTTAGACAATTAAACTTTTTTTTTAATGTTCTTCCCTACTTCGCCTTTTAGGCTATACGGGATTTTCCCGAGCCGAAGGATGAGGGCGGGGAATTTAAAATCTCCTCCGGCACGGAAACACGAAATCGTACTTTTTTTAATCTCATAACTTCTGTTATCTAGTTGCCGGGAGACTCTCAGTGCTGTGCACAGGCGTTAGCCCATGCCCGCCACCCCGCCCCCTTTATACACAATTGCAGTTGTTGCGGTATATTCCATATTTTCTCCTTCTCTATTATTCTGAAATTTTTCATCTTGAAAATTCATAACCTCTTTGAAATGTACCCCCCTCAAAAATGCAAAAACCCGTCAAAATATGCCCCCTCTAAAAAGTTTGATGGCGCAACTTTCGCCATAAAACCTCCTTCTGGGCACCTCTAGTACCGAGTACCAATATTTTATTCAAATTGAATTATTATTGAGAATTCAATCTCTATTAAAGTTAATCGATTGATATCAACTGAAATAATTATTAATTTCTTTGGCACCCAAAAAAAGTCAGTATACTTGGTAAAATACTTGATACTCAGTACTCAGAGAGTAACTGCCCATCTATACTGCCCATACTTGAGAGATACATTATAATGTTTTCAAAGCTTACAAATAAATAAATAAATAAAATAAACAAGAAATAATATAAAAATTAAATAGAATAAAATAAATAGATAAATAAGAAAGCCCCATTGTTATTTTATGTTGAATTATTTGTCCACACTTTGTGTTATATTTCTACATAAATATTCAGATCTTTATAGAATAGTGGTGATGAGGTTATATTATCGAATCACATTGTAATCCACATAAAGTAAACGATTGGATCACTGCTGCTTAGAGAGATATTGACGGGATCTTTTCAACGCGTACCTTCATCTCTATACTAACTCCATGTTTATAGTATTTTATATAATGATAAAATTGCCCCGTTTTAATCTGGTAGAACTGAGGTTCCCACCGAACCAGAAAAAATGGCTGTCACTGTGATTGAGTACTAATCTTTGCAACTCTTGAAACGCGCTATGCTTCTCACTTTCGACGATTCGTTCCAGACCAACCGTAGATATTTCGCATTTTTGACCATTATATAACTTATTATAGTTTTTTTTTTTAACATAAAGAAGTGTACATTTATATCAGGATGTCCCATAACTTCATTCCTTTTTCTTTATTTGTTGTTGAATGTTGATTTACTCTGTTATATATGAACCGTTCTGCTCTATTACCTTCTTACATCTCTCACGAAGCCTCTTATACCCTTTTTCCAAAATAATTGAGACTAACTTGCAAAATATTCATCGAGATGTGTATTTATTTCAAATACAAGAGTTACTGTCTTATGGCCAACAAAACATGCGGCATTGCCCGTAAGACAGAAATTCTCACAATTTCATTGAAACTTTATACCATCCAAATATTCTTGTTACTTTCGTTAACAAATTATTTCCGTGATGTCACAAATCCGAAATCGAAATAAAAAGGCATCTCGATGCATATTTTGCTAGTTAGTCTCAACAATTTTGGAAAAAGGGTATACGAGACTTTCTCAGATGTGGAAGAAGGTTATAGTGCAGAAAGGTTCATATATAACACAGTAAATCAACAAATAAAGAAAAGGAAAAGAATCTAAGAGACAACCTAATACTTTTTGGAGCTTGTCGCTCCTAAATTCTAAACAACAACTTTAATATAAGGATTCTATTTTTCCGATTTTTTTCCTGTGGCTCTCCATTCACTCTATAACTGTGTGCTTGATTTGTTTCTTAAAAAAATGATGCTTGTAATTTATAGTCTTAAGTATTTGTATGAGTCAAATATCCAGTCCTCTATGGTATTTTTACTTTCACTTACGTATATATGTAATATATAGTAAGGGTAAGTATTGGGATCGTGAAATTTTCGAATCTCAGTTTTCAACGGAAATACACGTTTTGAGGTCCCCTGAGTCCAAATTACCAAGTGTCGCAAAATGGTCTGTGTGTTAACAGTCTAGCTCATAAACGAAAAGTAGTATGAAACTGATATTAAGTATTTAAGGTTTGTATATGGGCCGGATGTGACTGCAACTTTTTTGTTAAAATTGGCTAACCGGAAGTGCCACTTTTTATCTTTACAAATTGGACGGGTTTCATCTTTTGGATTGTTGATCGTCTCCATTACAGGTTGTAACAAACGATTCCGAAGGATATGCGAAAAAGGATGTGAAGTATTGTACAGGAAGTCATGATTACATTGAACTATCAGAGTTAACCACTAGTGAGTCTAAGACATTATCCAATATGACTCATATGATGATTTACTTTCTATTATGACTAATACCCGCTATGCTTCTTTTGCTCCCTCGTTACCGAAGGTAGGGAAGCATTGAATTCGTGCGACAGGTTAAAAAAAAGTTATGTGCTCACTAATTATCAAATATGCAATCTGCAAATGCAGAACTCTTTTACTCATATTTTAGTATTCAGTGTACAAAACTCGTGAATACCAAATCCTTATGTGTTGAGGGATTACTGAATTTCTGATAACGACTTCTCCCACAGATTTTATTCTCATACGAAAAATGTTAGACCTTATAATATGGATATTTTTTGGCCAATGAAACAGTGAGAAAGCTATACTGAACTTAATTGGCAGAGGTTTTTCTATTATGATTAACCATCTTTTATTTTTAACATATTTTTATTTTCATATGTATATTTTAAAATGCCTGCAGCGAACTAGCTGGCCATATTGCCCGTGGACTAACCACCCCTTTCCTTTCTGCTTAGGTACTCGCCGTGCAGGGCCTTCAAGCTGATGATGAACGAAGTTAACGACCTCGCTGGCCAACATGAGCTCATCGCCGAGAACCTCCAGTCGGAGGTCTTCCGGGAGGTTACCATCCTCATAAAGGACTTCAAGGACGAGAGGAAAAAGGTAAGTCTCATATTAGATAGTACGACTTAACGACTGCCACTACAAGACGATGGATGAAATTAAGATCATATGGTCGTACTGTTTATGGAATCTCGAAGCTAACCGGAATGCGTTTTTCTTTTGATCGGATAGTTTAGGTTACAATGACAACACAACTTCATTTTTTCGACCGACGCACAGTCGGACGGAAACATAACTCTAAAATCGGAAACAAAATTGGAATTTACAAGTATTTTATTTTTTCGAAACTTTATATATTCTCTTGAAGAAAGACAGTTTACGACTTCGGGTGTTCAAGAAACGATTATTTTAAAAAATTTTCTCATGATAAAATTTAAATCCAAAATTGAGGCTGCTACACACAGAACACGATATGATACCCTTTGTCGGTATCGCTACGAATGATCGCGTTCTGTGTAACTGCTATAATGCAATATATAGTAATAAAATTGAGTGGCCTCGTATCAAAGACAGACATCTGTCATTTTTAAAAAGCAGAGAAAAAAAAATAATTTAACTTAACTATAACATAACTTCAATTTAAACCAATTCTAGTATTATTATTTATTAACTTTTTTAAATTTTTTATTCCCCTGCCGGGTATAGCTGCCATACGGGGTTTTCGGCAGGAGTGGGGTGATACATTGAGTTTATTATTTTTTAACCAAACACAAATGTTGAACATTCAATTAAATTTGTAATCTGCAAATTTTTTTGCAGTGAATAAACAAAAAAAAAAAAAAGAAAAGAAAGATCTCATAAATATCGATGTATGCTTGAATGAATACTGGGTTTATTTGCCCAGATCTCGCTCGCCTCTTACGAGTTACCTAGATTAGTGACAGTGAGGTTTCGTAACACCGCTGGTCATGAATATGATACAATAGCCCAGGCTAATCAAGCAGGCATTGGTGCATGTTAGCAGGCATATGCGCAACAAGTGACGTAATAACTGTAGCGTGTTACTGCCTCGGATAATGAAGGCATTGCCCCCTGCCATAGAGGATATCGTGTACATAATACATCGTGTAGCCGTGATGATGATGATGATGTTACCTAAACACAAATACCTTCTCCAAGAATGGTATGGAGAAGTGGAGAAGAAGGGGATTGGAAAAACAAAGCGCGCTCATCAGAGACTCCGTCACTGTATTACTGTATTCGTATTTATCCCTTATTTTTATATAGCATCTTTCCTATATATTATTTCTCAAATATATATACCTTTTTTGGCTCTCAGGAGTGATGTATTTTGATGAATGAGGTATCAATAGAAAGGGAATATCACGTAGTGTGCGCGCATCGTAGTTTTGATTTCTAATTTTATACCTGGACTTAAATAAAAGCTAATGTAAAAGTGAAAAGTTTCAAACCACATTGGGGGCGGGGTGCCCCCCCTGAAAATAGGCTAACGCGTGTTGCCCGGAAATCAGATAACGGAAGTTATGAGATTTAAAAAAAAAGTACGAGTTCGCGTCCCAGTGCCGGAGGTGATTTTAAATTTCCCGCCCTAACCCTCCGATCCGGTAAAATACCAAATAGCCTAAAAGGCGAGGAAAAAAAAGTTTCAAACCACATGATGGTGCCGTCGCAACAAATCTAGACATTACAAATGAATTCATAATTCTCTTATGATATGCGGCATTGTCAGCCAGTGATGTCCAGTAGGGTGCCCACTAAGAGGACTCGGTCAGACGGCGTTAGTACCCCTCGTGATTCACCAGTGAAACAAAAAACTCGTCGCTGCCTGCGAGAAATAGCTAAAATAACTCCAAACCTTCCATCCAAACCAAAACTAAAATAACTCTTCACTCCAAACCCGTTCCAAGTGCTTCATAATGACAGAGAAGTAATGGAGTCAGCAGCAGTACCCAGGGAACCAAGGCCTCCTCCGATATTTGTAAAAAATATCAAAAATTTTCAACTACTGTGTACACAGCTAAACGAAATCTGCTCCGGCAGTTATTCTTGCCTCAACAGGACCAACGATACAAAAATAACACCAGATACTGCAGAAACCTACCGAAAAATTGTGAAGTACCTGTCAGAAACGAATGCAAATTTCCACACGTACCAGCTGAAACAGGAGAGAAGTACACAATTTTTGGTCCATTATTCACATAAGTATTTGAAACCCTACAAAACGTAAAAAAAATTATCGAAATCGGACGATTTGGTTCAAAGTTAAAGCGACGATTCTGTTGCTTGATGGAATTTAAGATGTTGGGAATTGGCCCTTTTTTTTCCTGGTGTACTGTATTTAATGCATCAATTAGTAAAGTAATTAATTTTTAATTTTATTCTTTTTAATTAAATAAATTATTAATATTATTTTATATAAATGTGTCTTCCTTGAAACACTTCTTAGAATTTTTGTTAATTTGCTTCAATTACTTCATGAAAGTCTTGGGCCGACTTTAAAAAAAAAAAAACTACTTGTTCCTGAGAATTTGATCCTTTTGTCTTATGCCGTCATCAGATGTTTAAAGCAGTGTTTAGAAACTTTTGTTAATTTATGATAATACTATGAAGAAAAAAGCTAATATTTAAATTACAATATTAAGGGAACGCAATGGTTAAACCATATCAGATTGTAAATCATATTTATAAGTGATGGCTTACTAGATATCTCTATTAAACCTTTGCTGTAAAATATTATTGAATATTGTGCTGGGCCCTTAATCTATTAAAATCATATACAAATATTAGGTTTGTGCGGAGTATTCGCATGGGTCAGCTAGTACAAATTAAAAGTAATTGAGGGGTGGGATGGCCAAGCGTTCTAACCCAGATATAAGATAGTGTGATACAATAATATCGAGTTCGTATACCAGTGAGAAGGGGGGCTATTAACTCTGGCAGTAATCCTCCGCCCTCACCCACTGGCCCGGAAAACCCTTGTATAGCCTAAAAGGCGAGCAAGGAGTGGACAAAAAAAAAGAAAGTGATTTAATTGTTTTATTATTGTTCTGGGGAAGGAGAGGAGTGTTTGTTCCAGAGGCAAAATCAAATCTATTTTAACCAGTGTGGGAAGGTCAAGATTCAATTCATGGCTCTACATATACTACTCTAAAATAAATTAGAACCAGCGCCGCTCGAGAATGTTAAACTTTTAGCGACGATGACTGTGAAGGGTAGAGCAATAATATTGAGGGGAGGAATATTTTTCATCACCTCTACTGACCACTTACGCCGTTCTCTTAAAGGCATAGTTCAAAATGCACATAATCTACAGTCACAGAAAAATTGTTTATTGCCCCATGGAAAGGCAGCGAGTTAGTTTGAAAATAGATTCGTTCACTGAGTATTCCGTCATTTGACAAGAAAGAGATCGACAGGCTCTTGACTCATATATGAGACCACCATTCTTAAAGTGGGAAACTATCTAACACATTGTAACTACTGAATTTCTTTTTAAGTTTATAATTTGTTTTCAACTTAATTCATTAAAATAGTGAGGGTCAGAGGAAAAAGTTGAGACTATTCCTACAAAATGGAGGCCTTATTACTACTCCAACTCCAACTCAATTCACAATCACTTCACCTCCCTCCTGTAGATTCACCAGTGGGGTCAACAGATGAACACTTCTTTAGGCACGTTTTGCAATTTGTTTGTGGAGAGTGAATCAGATTGAGCCGTCAGATCTCTGATCTGTAACGCTCTGGTAAACTCGGTTGGAATCGACTAATTAAAGTGTTTTTTGCATATCGATAAAATAGCTCAAAAATAAAAAAAATCAGATCTTCATATATTTAGTGAGGGAAATGTTCATCATTATATCATTCTCTTTGTAATGAACTATTATTCAAAATTGTATCTTAACGCAACGCCGTGTTAGAGAGATTTAAAATATCTCAGAAACTAAAAATTTATATTATTAACATTGCATTGTTGATGTTTTCACTTCTATAGTGTGGTCTAAAGCTCACACCATAGTTTTTTTTTATATAATAAATAAAACAAAAAAATAATTCTGCATGGTTGTAATTTTTTTTTTCTCCGCTTACTTGGGCTACACAGATTTTTTCCTGGGCCAGGGGAGAGGACGGGGAATTATACTGAGTTAAATGTCTCACCGGGCACTTCTTTAGGCTACACAGATTTTTTCCTGGGCCAGGGGAGAGGACGGGGGAATTATACTGAGTTAAATGTCTCACCGGGCACTGGGATTTAAACTCGTAATTATATATTTATTTCAAATTTTGGTTATCAGGTTGCTGGGCAACGCATGGTGCTGTGCACACGCTTTAGGCTGCTCCGTCACCTCTCCCCCCATAGTTGTAATCTCAAAAATAGCTTTTCGCTGATGAATGAATCAAAATTATTCCAAAGTATCTAAAAAAGTGTTAAGGAACCTCCCTGAAACATACTCTCCATTTTTGTTATATTAAAAAATCTACTGGCAACCTGCATACAGACATCATTTCATTTGAAGTTCTAGCATAACCCTCTTAAGTGTTCTAGCTGCACCTACTTGTAGTTGTGGGAACAAATTATTTGAATTAGTTGAAAATAATATATTACTATTAATGTCTATCCTGCATTATATCTTGTGATAAAATCTCTTATTATTAACATAAGGAAGTTTAAATGCTAATGAAAAATATGTATTATATTATTTTTATTACTATAACAATTTTAACTTTTTTAATTAATAATATAAACTTAATTAACACTTAAAATGATATTTAAAGCTAATGGCAGACGGTGCTCGGATGATGGGACAACTGACATCCCAGATCGGTACCCTAGAAAGGGCACGCAAGAACTATGAGAAGGCGGCAAAGGAAGCGGAAAGAGCTCTAGATAATTACAAGAGGGCAGATGCAGACTTCAACCTCTCTCGAGCAGAAGTCGAGAAACAGAGGATGAACATGACTATCAAGTCCCAGCAGTGCGAGGAGGCCAAGAACGAGTACGCTGACCAGCTCCAGAGGACCAACGAACAACAGGTTAAAATTACTCATTTTCCATTAACTTAGTCTGTTATTATAATGAGTATTAAACCATTTCCTGTAAATTACTTCAATAACTTATTATTATTAATTTAATTTTGCAGAGACAACACTACCAATACAAAATGCCAGACGTCTTTCGGCAACTCCAGGAGCTTGATGAGAAGAGGATAAGGAACATTAGGAATTTCATGGTGCACAGCGTCCAGGTTGAGAGGAATGTGTTTCCGATTATCAACCAGTGCCTCGACGGCATTGTCAATGCTGCCAATACCATCAACGAAAAAGAGGTTGGTATAATATCGTCTTAATTAAAAAATGCTTAATTTTGTTTGAACATCTTTACGTTATTCATAATTGTAATAAGTAAGGAAAAAAAAAAGTAATACAATCCTTATTATTGTAGCTATTATTTTAATAAAAATACAGACTTCATGGTTTTACAGATGAATGATTCTACTACAGTTTCATCTAGATAAAAAAATTTTGCTAAATTTTTTTTAATGATTTGTTAGGCTTGATAATTGGTGTTTACTTGAGAAACATATTTTCTTAATCAAAGTAATTTTAAAAATTAGATGCGAATTGAGCTGGTTATATTTATATAAAAGTATTTTAAATTAGAATAATTAATTCCACTTATTTCATATATATATATATATATATATATATATATATATATATATATATATATATATTTATATCTTTTCTTATTATGACGTTTGAAACACCATTTTTTTTTTTTTTTTAGGACTCCTTATTAGTGATCGAGAGATATAAATCGGGCTTTGAACCTCCTGGCGATATTCCCTTCGAAGACCTAAACAGGGTGGACGGTAACCATCACCCGATGGCCATCAATCCGATCCCCATAGCGATAGTCAAACCAGAGCCAATCACGGTCAAGGGTACCATGTCTGCAAGTAAACTGAAGAAGCGTGGAGTCCTCTTTGGGATATTCTCATCGAACAAGGTACGTTCTCGATATACGTTATCTTTATCTTTTCATAATCTACTGGGAATACTCAATCTTTGTATCTCTTCTCAAGTTTAATTAATTGTCAAATAACATCTTTCTTTTCAATTTATAACTTTTGGGTGCTTCTATTATTGTTATACTATTCTCTAATAAATTTAAAATAAGAAATGCATTTTGTACATATATGCTTATTTATGGTGTGGCATAAATATGTTTTATTTATATCTTTTTACTTTTGTTTCTTTTTTTGTTGTTATCTCTTTATTTATTTATTTATCTCTTTTTAATATTAATTGTTTGAAATATTTTTGGGTTTTTAATAAGAATGGTATCACAATTGATATGACTCAATAAAGGGTGATGGATTATTATTTAAGTTAAGTAAGAATTACTAATGGGTGAACACTCATGGTTGGGCTCTGTTTTAAGTGTATAACAATCATGGATATCCTCAATATGTTCATCTCTTCTAATATCACAATGCAGCACTTAATAAGCACTGTTGAAAATTTTTATTTCTGTTTTCTTTCTTCTCTGTATGAACCATTAATAAGGAGTATTATTAAGCAGGGCTTGAAATTGAAAAAAAAAACTTTTATTTTTAAAAGTTTAGTTTAGGTATCATCAGAATTTTGCAATATACAGAATAGTGCAAGGAGGTGATTTGACCGAGATCGCGCTCAAAAGGCAGTTTTCTCTCTTAATTAGGTATCCACTTTATCGAGGCTGGCAGTGCCCCAGGAGGCTCTCCCAATCCCAGGGTCGAGCCATGGCTGACAAATCAGAATAAATAATTAATCTTTCATCAGCCAGATTCGAACCTGGGAGCTTCAGTATTATAAGTCAGCTTATCTTACCACTGAGCTACTCCATTCCTGGTTAATCATTAAATAATAATATTACAAATTTATAATAATAATATTTCATATTATATTATAATAATTTTTCAAATTTAATTGTAATTAATGTGCTATCCAGTGCAAACCGAATAACTAGATAGATAATCTAATCAAAACACATTATATTTATCTTGAAAACTTAATGTACCATTATAATGTACAAGTATATGATTGCTATATTTTGTATAACAAATTAAATTATATTGTAAGAGGCTTCACATTTGACTTAATGTCTGACTCGGAAGTTATCTTTTATGATTTGTTTTGTATAAAGAGATGAACATGTTGATTCTAGTATCTAACTAACAAAATTAAACTAGATAGTAGTGTACCATGGTAATGGTACTGTACCTTATTTATTCTAATGATATGGGAAAGGCGTAACGATAAAACAGCTTTATAAACAAACGTCTGCATTACAAATATAACTTCATTCCTTTATAATTTAAGAAGAAAAATTATATGAAATGTTGGTATTTTATTTTTATTATGGAGTTGAAGATAAATACTATGCGCTTAAGGTCCCCGCTGCATGGTTCACCTGGTACCAATAACAATAACCATCCATAAGTTGTAATGTAGGTTGCGGAGGAATATTATATTTCATGGAACCCAGTAATATAATGAAGTTTTGAGCATGTGGCCATTGTAGATTGCTGCTATCTTAGGTTTATAAATTTTGTAGAGTATTTTATTCAAATTGAAAACAAAACTATTGTAGATTTTTTCTTGTTTGATGATTGATTGATTTTTTGAAAATTTAATGTAATGGATGAAGTAAATTATATTTGACTAATTATCTTCTTTTTTCTTATCTTATTTTGATTTTGATTTTTTGATTTTTGTGTTTGTTTTTTTTTCCTGTTTTGTTCCATTATTCGATGAATTGCGATTCCAACTGAATTTACAATGGTGGATGGTGTTTGCTACCGGTTGACATAGTAAGTATAACAAAATGCCCGATATTGAAAGCTTTACTGTTTAATGTAATGTTTAAATATTGTGCTTCCGTTTTCTTTTTTTTTCTTTTTGCTTCGTACTAGTCACATCACAAACGGGCAATGGATTTTAACAAGCTATCTCTTTGCACTACTAACACGTCTTAATGATTTTGGTTTCAGGACCGTTTCTTTTCTCACAAATATATATTTATATAGTTTTTTCATTTCTTTTATAGCATTTCTGAATTTATTTGAATATTTTCTGGACCAAATATAATCTTTTACTAATTAAATGTATCCCAGTCTTAATATAGTCTTATTTCTGTTAAAACTGATACCCCTTCCTAAGGATCATAACTTTTTTCTTTTCAGTAATTGTAACTCATTCTATTCCGGCTGTAATCTTTGCAATTATTTAAAAAAAAAATAGGAATGTAGGAAAGTTTTAAATTGTTCTTATTACTCTATGAAATAATTAATAATTCTCTTAATGCATTTGTTGACATTTCGTGCATAGGAAATGTGGCGTATAATAGAAAAATAGTACAGAACCAAAATGATAAATTGTTTGTCTACATATTCATATAAATTAAGAAGGTATAAATAACCACCAAAAAAAATTCTGACTGACAAAAATAAAAATGTTTTGTCCAGATGATATTTGAAAAATAATTTTACAGAAAATTTTATGGTATATAACATATGTAATAAAAATGTTTGAAAAGGCCAAGTGGTCGAAACGTTACTAAAAATATATGTTGATATAACCAAATAAAAGTTTTTTTAATATTGATATAACAATTTTTATGTATTATATTTTGTGGGATATAATTGAGCTAAAAAATTTTTTAATTAACTACTGATAAATTAGCATTATTGCATTCCATCTTTTATATATTATATGTACTTATATAAAAAATGAGTTACCAATTTAATGGTGAAAAAAAAAATTGAAAAAAATTGCTTAAAAGGGTCGGCTATATAACAAGAAATATCAGTTTTTTTTGGGCGAGATTAATAAAGTATAAGTGAATATAACAGTTCATTAAATATTAATTAGTTGCTTAAATTAAACTTTTGTTTTGAAGTGTATGGGCCATTTCTCCTGTAGGATTAATCATTATTTTTTTTTAATGCTGACCCAATCCATAGCTGATATAACGGAATAAATAATTATTGTCTGAACCGGACTCAAACCTGCCTCTTTAGATAAATCTGGACTGTACTCATTTCTTATAAACAAATACATTAATAAATTACATTCAAATAAAAGAATTAAGTTTTCAAAAATTATTTTGTGATTATTTCTCCGTAATTTTGATGTACTAATTATTTGAACATGTTATGAATGTATTATATAACCGGTTACATGTAGAATGGTTTGAGATAGATATTGTTTGGAAAGGATTTCAGCTTATATAGATATGGGATACATTTAATTTGAGAAATGATTTAATTTGATTTATATGTTTTTCAAACAGACTCGGAAATGCTCTATACTATTTACCAAGCTTTATTTTATTTTTAAATAAATAGTGTTAAGCTGTGAAATAAGCTTAGAATATTGATTAAATATTACTTTAATCATGTGTTTTACAAATGCATTTATAACGATTATCTTTTACGGTCTTTCAGTTTATTTATTTGTTAATTTTAAGAATAGTTAGTTTTTTTTTGTTTTTTTATGTAAATGATGATAATTTAATAAAAGAACAAAATTATTTGAAATGCATTTGGCATGTTGGATGTCTAGATTTGTTGTGTTTTGTGAATTAGTAATGTGCTTGGTTTGTTCATGCATTCACGCAGAAGCTATTCGATATGTGCCACTCCCTCAAGGTAGGCACAACGCTATCATCTAAATTAATAATTACTTAATCTCTTACTTTCTACTGCAATGCTTCATTCATTGTTATGGTATTTAATAAATAATTAATTTGTTAATTGTTTGTATTTATTGTTTGGATAACTAACTCTCTTATATGATACTTTGTGTAGCTTGCTCTGCTTTTGTTTTTTGTAAATGAAACATTGCAGTTTCTTTTTATTTTATGAAATAATGTGTGTATATCTATATATATTCTTTATCAAATTAATATTTAAGAAAAAAAATTGAACTGGTTTTACGTTCTTAAAAATAACCACTTTATGATTTTAGGTACTTATCTAAAAAAATAAGAAAAAGCTATTCTACATTCATCCCATAACAGGATGTAGAGTTTTTAGTATTTAATTACAGATTAAATATTATCCAATATAATATTACCAAGTAATATTGACTCTACTGATCTGATTTATTGATGAAAAGAATAAAATTAAAATAAAATGTTTGTGCATCTTGCCATTTTATGTCTAAATTGGGGATAACAGTATTGAATGTCATAAAAAAACCTTTTTATATTTTTAAATAACAATATAACGTTTGGTATAAATGAGTTAGCTCAAATCAGGAATGATGTCATCTACAATTTGCAGTATGCCCGTGATCAAGTCATAATCGCATCGGATCCGGATGAGGTGAGCTATATGATGAGGAAGTTGCTAGACACATATTCCAGATGGGGTCTGAAAATCAGTAAAAGCAAAACAGAGTGCATGGTTTTCAACGCTCCAAATTTGCCCCTTGAAATTGATGACTGGACACTAAATGTCAGCCAGCGGTTCAAGTACCTCGGATACAGGCTATCTTCAAAGGGAGGTAGTGAGGTTGATATCGAACATAAAATAAACAATAAGAAAAGATTAATAAGTTTGATAAATTCAACCCTATGGAGTAAAAAAATAAGATTGGAAACTAAAAAGATGATCTACCATTCCTTTGTAGAAAGTGTAGCCACCTACGCATTAGAAGTTTGGACAATTAAAAAAGGCGGAAAATAGGTGCTTTCCATGAAAATGGATTTCTGGAGAAGAAGCTGTGGCATATCGGGAATCGAGCTGATCCCAAATGCAGCAATTAGAGACAAGGTCGGATGTCAAAAGAACATCCTTCGCCTGCTCGGGACCAAAAGGTTAAAATGGCCACTTAATGAGGATGGATGAGAACCACTGACCAAAGAAAATTTATAACTATATGCCACCTGAAAGAAGGAAGCGTGGAAGGCCAAAGAAGAAATGGATAGAGGGCGTGGAGGAAAGCATGGCAGCCAGAGGGCTCCGTGAAGGAGATTGGATGGACAGGGAGCAGTGGCTTTTGGGTGTTGGGGATATGACTCCTTAAGTTGTAGAAAAACCCAAATATATATATAAAAAAAATAAGTTAGCCAATTTTTGATACTGTTCCGTTATGTTTCTGTTTTCAATTTTTTAGGTGAGTGGATCGTAGGTTATTTTACTTTTTTTTTTTCATTGTTCTGTTACTTGTATATGTGCTCTGATTTACAAAAAAGGCAACTGGACATTTGTCAAGAATACCAGTTTTTGAATGGTTTGAAAAAAAAGGGAAAAAATATAATGGGCGGAAAAATAAGTATTTAACTTTTAACAATAATTTGATTTTTCAAATTATTAAATTTTACAATTACAGCATTACAGAAAGGCATTTAATTAATATGTGCTTACCTTCTCATTATGTGAGTATTTCTCTAGACAGAGTCAAGGGAGGGGGGAGAACAGTAGTAGTATTCTTTGCTCCGATTTACATCTACATTACATCTTTGCAGCCAGCCCTGATGATGGCCTGAACTTCAGGTAGAAACGTCGGCAAATGTCAAAATAAATATTATCATTTATTTTTGCCTTCTTATTTGACTCTTCACCCCAACTATTCTTCTCTCATTATTCATAACAGTTAACCATTTACCCACAATTAAAAAACAGTAGTAGTTGGATTTGTTGGTGTTAAACTGAAAATGTGATTTTGAACCAATAAGCTTAAATTTGAGAGTGCTAAAAAAAAGGGAAATGGTAAGCCTAGAGCGCTATCTGCTGGAAATCAGAATCAATTTTCCATTATAATATTACTTTATTTTGTATATCTCATATCTATTAAAAATTGTAAATTGCAGAAACCAGTTCAATTTTTTAATATTGCCATCTATACACATCAGCATAGACTTTTCTTACTTTTCTTTAAGGCTTTTAAATTTTAATTGCCTTGATTTTCTGTCCTATGATGTAGGCTAAGGTACTTTTCTTTTTTTTCTAAAGCCATTAGAGTAGTTTTAAAAATATTTAGTATTTATCAAATTGTGTTTGATAAGGTCAGTTTTCTTCATTATTATTTTTTTTTTTGTTAATTTTATTCTTTATTTGATGAAATAAGTTGAAATCGTGTTAGGTACCGAAACAGAGTTATGAATATCTTTTTGAACAGCTGTTAATATTACTTCTTATTTCCTCAGAATAATCTTTCTGGAAATGGTGATTATAAGGAGGATTATAGTGACCTACCACCGAACCAGAGAAAAAAGAAACTTCAGATGAAGATTGATGAAATCCAAGCTAAAATTCACCAAGAAACCGCAGCACGGTATTAATTTCTTTCTTCTAATGTAGTTTTAATCATTTTCATTGAAACTTCTTTTTAAAGTTTTTTTTTTTTTAAATCAATATTGTTTTTTGAGAAGGAGTTGGTCGAGGGGTGCGTTCAAATGGATACTATATATCAAAATAGTATTTTATTTTTACGCTGAAGTTTCGGCCCACTTTGTAGGTTTTCATCAGGGCTTGGTATCGGCACTGTAGTGAGTTGAGTTGAGTCTACCAACTGCTTTCTGCAGTGCCCGATACCACACCATGATGAAGACCTCTAGAGAAGGTTGCAACGTTAGCGTAAACAATAAAATACTATTTTGATGTATAGTATTTATTTGACCTCACCTCCCGACCAACTCCTCGTATTATCATCACGTTCAACCATCTCTACACCAATATTTTTTTTGCTCAATATATGAAATAATTATACACAAGGTGTACTCAAAGAGTCAGGAGAAATTTCATATTTCATAAGTTGTTATGTTATGTTGGTAAACATGTCTTAACCCATCTGTACAGTGGTTAAGCCACATTGAACGATTAGTCTCTTGTTAGTTATGAAAAAGTTTATTTGTGTTTGCTTGCAAGTGTCAATTTTTTATTTGTTAGAAAAATGAATGAGAGAATTTGCACTAAACTTTGCTATAATAACAGAATATAATCTAACAAAGTTTTAGAAACTTTGAACATTACTTATGGTGGGTGGAGCCTGCTTTGAGTAAAAGAAGTCCACTTTGAGAGGCAAGTGTTTAAGTGTTTCCAAGGCGACCATGAAGACGTTAATGATGACTAGTGTTCTGTACACTCAACAACTGATATAAACCAAGAAAAGAGAAAAAAAAAAAAGTTTGAACAATCAGAGAAGTACTGATGAAGTAGATATATCAATTGACTCATGAAATGTTTTTCATGGCCGATAATTCTTGAATAATGAATCTACACACACTTCATTTCTTGTTCATGGAGTTTTGGCAAAAAACAGTTTTATAATAATACCCCAGTCTCTATATTGCCTTGATATAGACCTTTATGACTTGTCCTCTTTTCGAAAATAAAAAGAATATGTCCCTCATGAGCTCCGCGTGCTTATGTTTTCTCTCCTCAGACCAAGCAACACCCTTTTTGGAGCACGTCCAAACAATCTTGGTCTCTTAGCCTCACTTGGTCCATATCATCCTTAACCTGTTTGAAATACCCGTTTAAATGTTTATGAATGTGGATTCGCTGAAAAATTATATGGTTTAGTCTTTCAGGATTCATCCTCATCATATGGCCATAGAACCTCAGCCTGCCCACCTTCGCTACAGTTTCTAGATCTGTTGTTTCCTTATATATTTCTTCATTTGACCTCAATCTGTAACCTTCAGATGTTCTCCTAGGTCCGTAGATTCTTCTGAGAATTCTTCTTTCTGGCTCTCTAGGCTGAGAAGACAAGAAGTTTCTGTTGTGTAGAGTACCACTGGCTTTACGACCGTGTTATAATGTCGTATCCTAGCTTTTAGAGACAAGTTTGTCTTTTTATAAAGATCACTGGTGGCAAAGCTTAATTTCTCTATTTTGGCGTTTCTTTCCTTAAATCCTTCTCTCTCTGACCCATTGCTGCATATGATTTCTCCAAGGTATTTAAATCTCTGAGTTACTTTAATTATTCCGTATATGGTTTTAATTGTTTTCTTCTTAAAATTCGCGTCTGTGGTAATCAATTCTGTCTTCTCAAAAGATATCTGTAAGCCTGTTTTCCTCACTATTTCCAAGAGGGTGTTTATTTGGGCAATCACCTCTTCTTCTGTTTCTGATAAAAGGACTATGTCGTCTGCGTATGCGAGGCATCCAATTTTGACGTTATTGTTCTTAGTCACTAGGAATGCACCTGAATTGTTGATTTTCCATAGTTCCTTTATGGTCTTGTCGAGTACCATGTTAAACAGTATTGGAAACAACCCATCTTCCTGTCTGAGTCTCGTTTTGATCTGAAATAGTTCACTGATATTTCGTTGGAATTTAACTTTAGATTCAGTCCCTGTCATCGTTAACCTTATCAATTTTCTAGTTTTTTGGTCAACTCCGTATTCTTTTAGTACTTTAAGTAGTGTTTTCCTATCTACCAAATCATGCGCCTTTTTAATCTTTTCCTCGCTCCAGATATCCATCATCAGCTCCATGATTATCCTTCTGAAATCATCCCCACTCAGTTTCCACATCTCTGCAAGCGCACCGCTATCTCCTGCCGCTTTGTTGTTCTTTAAGGATGCGATGACTTTATCTAGTTCCTCATCATCTGGTGGATACGATTCTGCTTCAGGGGGAGGGTGTTATTGATCGTTGTCATTCTTTCCTGAGGTTCTTCATAGTTCTTCTTCACAGAAGTTCTTCTGTGATAATATTATTGATGAATAAATAAAATTGTTTAAAAAAAAAATAACAATTTTCCTACATTTTGGACACACCTTACATGAATCCTAAAGGTACTATTTCGCTTATACTGTCCACAGCAGCGACCACTATTCCATACTGCCAACCGCTAATACTTGTCTATTTTACTGGAACTGCTCACCATCTTGGCCAAATCCTCTCGATTTAGCATTCTAATTTTAAATAAAAATGTTATCCTTAAATTTAATTTTCCTTTGTATTGGAAGGACAGAAGTGCACATGATGGTGGAATACTGATCTTAATTAGTTAATACAAATAATTTTTTCTGGTAGTTAAAGTTGAATAATAAGTTGAATAATAAATTGATTGATCAAACCCTCTCCTGAAGTCACCATATTTCTCACATCTCCCGACGGACAGTTTCTACCCCCAAACTATTCCATTGCTTCCGCCATCTCCTACCTCAACATGCGCGTAGACTCCTCGTTTCCTCTCTCATCTTCCCCCACTTTGACTACTGCTGTGTGGTGTAGGATGGACTCTCGGTGGAGCTTCGCGACAGACTGAAAAGAATAATGAACAGTTGCGTGAGATTTGTAATTGGTGCCCCGAGATACTACCATGTCTCTCACCACAACACTGAGTTAGAGTGGCTCTTCCCCTCCATTCGAAGACAATATTTCCTAGGTACATTCCTCTATCATATCATCAACAATCATTGTCCTTCCTACGCCTACAACCTTCTCCAATTCAAGTCCTCAGTCCACTCCCTCTCCACAAGATCTCGACCTTCCAACCTTTACATTCCTTCTCACAGATCTGCCTCGTTCCAAAACTCCTTTATTGCACGTTCTGTTAGTTTCTGGAATTCACTTCCTATCAAAATTCGACATTCTTCATCCTTATCTACATTCAAAACCCTCCTATTCCAATTCCTGTCCCAAAAACAGTCAGGCACCAGCTAACCTTTTATGTAAAATTATATATTATCTATAAGACCATATTCACATACAGCTCATACCTAAATACTTATTATAGATTCGACTTTCTTTTTTTTTTCAACAGAAACAGATTTTACTATTAAGAAGAATATACGTTTATATTTTCTGTATTTTTTATTTTTTCTAAAAGGGTTTATTTATATTTTAACATTGTACATAGTTTTAAGTATCTTAGTATGGTTTCAAGAGTTTTTTTATATAGATTTTTTTATTTTATTTTGTATATAGTATGTATAACCAATATTTTTTTCTTTTCTTTTTTTTAATGACCTATCTTAATCTTAATTTGTTATGTTTGTTTTTATCTGGCCAGATGTAAAATTTTAATTTCTGTACCTTTTTGTTATTCTGAAGGGACTTCGTCCCAGAATAAAATTATTTTTCTATTCTATTCTAAGTTATAAATGGGAAAATCCAAACAACAAAGCCATGACTCTCCAAACATTCACGTGAATAGTTAAGTTGCCAACCTCTGCTTTGAGTTAATAGAACTTTCTCTTTCCTTCAGTATGCATTTGGATGGCTTTACAAGATTTCTACAGCAATGCTAACTTTTGTTTTTCCTTTTCTTTCTGCATATCTGCGATCTTGGTTTTTCTGCCCTGATGATGTCTGAATTGGCTAAACATCGACAAGTTAACTATTCACCTATATGTTTGGAGACTCATGGCTCTGTAGTTTGGATTTTTCCATTTATAACATAATTATCTTATGTCTCTTTTCTAACGTTATGCTTATTTTGTTGAATAACAAGGTTAGGTTATGTCTGTATTGTAAAATGCCAACAACTATCTACATATTAATGCCCACCTTTTATAACATAATGGTTTTTTTTAATATTTGAATAGAAAATATCTGTTTTATAATAGAAACAAGATGACAAAATATTTTAAGCATTGAGGACGTATCTCTGATTTTTTTATTTCTTAATGATATTTACAACTGCATTAAAGAAATACATTTAGTAAATTTGAACATATGGATATAATGGCATGAAAACACATGTTGAGAAACTACCCAATGGCAGCACTCTAATGATATGTCTACATTAGGAGATCCAGGGGCCATCTTCTTTTCAGACGCCACGGAGGGTTATCAGGAATTGAAGAGGAAGGCAAAATTCGAAACGAGAGGGTTGGGATGATTCTGAAGTTTATTATGGAAGGATAGGTATCTGGATTGGGCCAGATCTGAAACATAAGAAAGATTAAGATCATTATGGATGGTTTTATTTGTAACAAAGTAGGGAGCATTGAGGATTTTACGAAGGATTTTGGATTGTAAGGATTGGATGCGAGAGGAATTCGATGGTTTAGTGGAGCCCCATAGCTCAACTCCGTAAGTCCAAATAGGTCTTATTATAGTCAAGTATATGAGTCTTTTGTAATTAATGGGAAGTTTAGAGCGTTTGTCTAGTAAGTGCTGAAGTAATCGGAAACGTCGAGCGGTTTCTTGTCGTTTCAGTCTGGTATAAGGATTCCAAGCTAGAAGTTTGTCCAGGTGGAGTTCTAGGTGGTGGATTTGTTCAACAGGGATAAGTGGAGTATTGTTAATGGAAACTGTAGGTTAGGAAGTGTCATAGGTTTACGACGAAGGGTAAAGGTAATTTGGTGGAATTTATTTTAAATCTCCAGTTTTGACACCATTCTGCAAGGTTTATGATGTGTGATTGAAGCATTTGGATTTGGGATGCAATTGATGGGTCATTATTTACTGATACATGTGTCATCGGTATAAGTGGTGATGACAGTATTGGGATAGGTTGGGATGTCAGCTGTATAAACTGATAGGACTTATAAAGGATAGGACCTAGGATACTACCTTGACGAACACCAGTGGACTGGGAAAAGAGGGATGAATGAATCCTATCAATAAGGTAGGAAGGGATAATGAGGAAGTATGTAGGTGGTAGGAATTTTTGGAGTTTGTACAGCAGTCCCGGGTGCCGAACTCTATCAAACGCTTCTCTGATTTTAAATTTATTACTTATTATTAATATGATCATATTAGTATTAAGTATCAACTATTTGTAATCAAATGACGGCATATGATGTTTTACCATTTTATAAATATGTAATCAGTAAATCAGCACTTTAATTAAAAAAAATAATAATTGATTTCGCAATGTCTGGATTTGAGTATTTATCTGAAATTAATTTTTTTGGAATAATTTAATGTCGTTTGGATTTAGGTATATTTTATACTTTATACTTAGGTAAAAAAAAAAAAGGAAATGAATCATATCAAGGTGACTGTTATCATCAAAACAATTCTCCGATATGATAACATAATCTATAACCGTCATACTGGCATAATCAGGTGCGGTCAGAAATTCTATTTCACTAGCAGTCGATGCTGTGGGCAGTACCAGCGAAATAGTACCTAAATCCAGCCCATTTTTTTTCATACAAGTACCTCATTACATAAGATTTTTTTAAGGTTATAATTAAAAGGCCTAGTTTGATCATTTTGTTCTACCATGCTATTTCTCTCGACTGTGATAAGATAATAATAAAATGAATGTTTATTATATCATCTTATTAATTATGTATCTTTATTTACTCCTTCAATGTAGGGATGGCCTTATGAAGATGAAGGGTGTCTACGAGGCCAATTCGCAACTGGGAGATCCGATGTCCATCGAGGGCCAGCTACATGAGAGCGGACAGCGACTGGACAAGCTGAGGCAGGAGCTGCACAAGTACGTAGCCTTCCTCGAGGAGACGGGGCCCGTCGGCGCCACCACCCCTTCGCACAACAGTCTCAATGGTATCAGGAGGCATCACAGGTATCTTCAAGGAGTTTGCACTTCACATTTTTTTCTAATCTCTCCTATCATTCTTAAAAGCGGCATTTTATATGCAGATATTTATATGAATGTACTGATAAAATACTTTTATTTAATGTATTTTTATAATTAAACATTTATACTCTCGGGAGTTAGTGGAGATCTGCATATGGCCCATGGTACTTAGCGGAGGCATCAATGCGTCACGTGGGACCTATTGGAGGCCTCAATGTGGCCCGCAGGCCAAAAAGTTTGATGACCTTTAATCAAGATCAATGGTTTTAAATGGTTTTTAGTTCTTGGATAAATCAAAAGTATTTTTCAATATTTAATAGGGTGAGCCAGAAAAAATGACTTTTATAGATTAAAATCAAGATTTATTTTTCTAATACTTACGATATTGTTAATAATCAAAATATAAACCATTGTGCTCTATGGTTCGATGCTATCTGGAAGCTAACTGCGAAATTTTTTTGCATTTTTAAATCGAAGAACTCCTTAATCTCATTTTCAAGCTAGTGTTGAATTGAACAAAAATGTAGTATATTTAATTGCTTTGTTGACATATTTTTAAATATACCTATACGCAAAAAATAAAAAATATATAAATGAAAAAAAATTATATAAATTTATTTTTATATCTAATATTATATTGTTTATTTTGCAATAATTATATTGATTATGTTAATTATTATTCATACTTTTTATATGTAATATAAACTCCCTTTTCATGAGGGGGAGAGGGAGGAGAGTCAATTCTCTTCCCTCTCTAGAATAATATCTATGATATTTATCTCAATTATCAATTATCTAGTTTAAAATATATATATATATTGTATTCTATTGACCGCCAGAAATTGTATAATATTCTAATCGAGCAGGGGATTCCTAAAAAATTAGTAAATCTAGTCAGGATGTGCTTGACGGAGACACTCAATGAAGTTAGAATAGGTAATAATCTGTCTGAAAAATTTGAGGTTCGTTCAGGTTTAAAACAGGGAGATTCCCTTTCGCCTGTCCTGTTCAATTTGGCATTAGAACATGCCATTAGGGAGGTAATGCGTACCGAGAAAGGGTTGGATCTGGGTGGAACAACATCCGTGCTATGGCCTATGCTGATGATCTGGTACTGTTAAGTGAAGACCTTGAAACTATAAAACTAAATACGACAATGAATACGTTAATGAAAGCCGGTAAAAAACTAGGACTCGAAATAAACGTGGATAAAACAAAATATATGGTTAGCTGCAAAAATGGCGATACTACTGGTGATATCGATATAGATGGTAATATGTTTGAACAGGTAGATAAATTTAGGTATCTAGGTTCTACGATAACTAGAAAAAACGAAACTGAAGAAGAGATTAAGGTTAGACTGAAGGCGGGAAATGCTTGTTATTTTTCTGTGACAAAACTACTTAGTTCGCGCCTCTTGTCCCGAAACTTAAAAATTAGAATCTATAAAACAATTATCTTGCCTACAGTTCTTTATGGATGCGAAACTTGGCCGCTTACATTAAGGGATGAGCAGCGTCTTAAGGTTTTTGAAAATAAAGTATTGCGTAGAATATTCGGACCGAAGAAGGATGAGTTAACCGGAGAGTTCAGACGGTTACACAACGCCGAATTGCGTGAGACTGTATCCGAGTAATATAATTGAGGTAATTTCATCGCGGCGAATCAAATGGGCTTGTAAAGTTGTTGGGCTTAGTAACGAGAGAATTCCTAAAAGGTTAATATTTGCTGTGCCGAATGGTAAGCGTCCGAGGGGTAGACCGAAGCGAAGGTGGGAAGATTGCATTAAAGCCGATCTGAAGGGACTGGGTTTGGACAGCGAACGGTGGAGGGAGGTGTGTAATAAGCGATTGGTGGTGTCGGCATCGAACCTTCGGGTTCGGTAAGCCTTTTATTATTATTATTATTATATATATATTGTAACATCTCTCTTATATTTTACAAATAATAATAAAACCTCATGGAAGATCACTTTATAGCGTTAGAATACTTCCAAAAGAAACAAGAGGTAGTTATAATAATAACCAAAATTATGAGAGTATTAATATATTTATGTATGTCAGGTGTGGGTTACTGACAATCAGATCCAATGACTCAGAAAGACTAACATTATCTACACTAAACACTGTTTGATTTTAAAATAAAGTCAAGTATGAATTGGCAAGCTAACCTTTTTTCTATTTACACTGTTTATTCATTTGTCTTCTAACATTTTCTAATGTTCTGCCAAACATATCTTCCAAAATGGTGACACTTTCTTTTACTCAACTCAAGCTCCCTACAAGATACTCTCTCTTGTACTTCCAAACCAGTCTCTCTGCCAAACAACAGCTTTTAAGGTGGTAATACTATTACTGGGTTTTACCCACTGGGACCAGGATACCTTCTCCTAACCTCTCTTCACTACAGCCACACACCTACAATCGCTTGCCAAAACAAAAACCTTTGTCCCTCTCCTCTTTGGAATTTTCCTTCTTGGGAAACTACAGAGCAGCCATTTTCTTTTCCCTGCGCTAATATAACTAGATTAACTTGCCTTTTAATTGTTCAACATTAATTTATTAAACCCTTTTTAACCACTTTGAATAAAAGGTGTACATTACAGTATATATATTTATATACTTATATTTTTCCAATCTTACGATGGTAGTAAATTACTATCTAAGATTGTGATTAACATTTCTGTTTGATAGGAACAGTTTAGGATCTGGCAATGAGGATGACTCTCTCAGCAGATCTGCCTCTGACTCCAGTGTTGCCAACCATAAGCACTCCGCGCCAGGCACGCCACTCCCTAACCATGGGTCTGTACTTCTTAGTCTGTATATATTTAATTGTTTAGTCCATATTATTTCAGTAATAATTAACTCTGCGATTGTGGATTCTTCTTTTAATGGATAAGCAATATAATCTAATGAAGTATCAATAGATACCGCCACTACAGCAGATTTGTTAAATTGCGCTTCTTAGTCTGAAAGTTAGCTAACTTTGAATGACTTTTTCCCTTATACCATATTAATATTAATGAAATTATTTAAATTTCTGCTTCCAGTTTTTTTAGAAGAATTTGTAGTAAAGTGACTTTGACTGCCTATTTTATTTACACTTACCTGTTATGAAATATATCGCTTGGAAAAGAATTGTAATCATGTAAAATTTTGATTCCAAGTTTTCAATTGTAATACGTTTTGAGGCCCCCTGAATCCAAATAACTAAGTTTCGCAAAATTATCTCTCTGTTTGTATATGGATAGAATAGTTTAACTCGAAAATAAAACCATTTTACAAGACTTGGTTATTTGGACTGAAGGGACCTCAAAATGTGCATTTCTGTCAAAAACTCAGATTCTCAATCACAATACTGTCCCTTACTTCTAATGATTTCATATATAGGTATGTAAAAGAAAAAAACATCTATTTCTATTCAATTAGAGTGGTAATTGAAAGTTGTTTGATGTCTGCACCACACCAGATTTTTTTTGTGTGTAATTTTATGTTGATTTAAATAAAATTACTTTTATCTTGGGTTTTGTATCATAATTGATTAAAAGAAAAGCAATTGAACCCCTGTTGCAAGTTAATGTAGAGCTGATGTGTGACTCTGTTGTCTAGGGCATCCGACAGCCCCGAGAGTGGGATCGGAGCGTCGCACACTTCGCTGCCTGACTCGGACGACGCCCCTCCTCCTTATTACGACACCGAGCTGCTACCGCCGCTCGGAACCTGCAAAGCACTCTACCCCTTCGAAGGTTAGCTTCATTTTGGTTTTTAGTTTAATTTCTATCAAACATAGTTTTTTTTAACAATAATTTTTTGTTTAGTGCTCTTAGTTCCAATAATGTATTTCACTTTTTTGAATTGCTTGAAATTGAAAAATTGCTCACTTTTGAAAATTTGATTTGCAGCAACAAGCGAAGGCTCGATGGCAATGGCTGACGGTGAAGAGCTTCTAGTTATCGAAGTGGACCAAGGAGACGGCTGGACGAGGGTGAGGAGGCCAGCTGATTCCACTGAAGGATTCGTACCAACCTCTTACATACAGTGCTTCCTCAATAACTGTTAGCCCATCCAACGAGGTTATATCAATTGGCTTTTGTTTTGTTTCATTATCACACTATGCCTTTAATTTTAATCTTTGAAATAAAAACAATATTTTTTTTTTTAAGACCTGGCCAATATTTCAAATTAAATAATATAAAATTAAAAATATAAAAATTGTTTGTATTGTGCATTTTATAAAGTGGAATATTAAATACATTGTTTGTAACTGTATTTTGTTTTGATATACAAAAGTATTTCTATTTTCTGTTTGAGATACTAAAACAATATTTTATTTTAACAACATAAATTACAAAATTGATTAGGATTTTTTAGGTAGTAATGCTGATCATTCCCTCCAGAATTGCTTATCATAAAGATTGTTTAAGATCAATTTTGTTAAATTTGAAATACAATTATCCTTAGATATAAAATTCATTGGTCGGGAGACGTATAATAGAGGAAAAATGTGTCCAGTTTTCGTTAATAATATTTCAATTACTTAACAGTAAAGAAAAAGGAAGGATTCAATTTATATTACACCTTAGAAAATATTTCAAATTTGACAAAGTGTCCCTTTAATTATAAATTTTTCAGAGATAATATCCTTCCCAAGATATTTTATTTTTCTTCTCTTCTTAAAAATACTGGAAGCAAAAGTAGAATTTTTAAAATCTTAGATCATATACAATTATACTATCTGCGGTTTGTTTTATGTTTTCCTCTTGTCACCTGGTTCGAAACTTTTCTTTGCGAAAATTCATTACTCCGTTAAAATAAAATTCAAAGTCCTGTCGAAATGTGTTCTCCTCCCAAAGTTCCCAATTAATTATTTTAAAAGTAAGTCCACTGTCTCCTAATCTCGTATCTTCTTTCCTCGCAAAAATAAAACTATTTTCATTAGCCTCAATTCAGGAGATATATATATTTTGTATTTTAAATACTTTTTCTGAAAACAATTTGAATACTTTGTAATTAAAATATTTTATATATTAAAAGAGCTATACTAGTAAAGTAAAGGTCATAGGATCGAATCCCGGCCCTACTTCCCGCAATGGCTGGTCCCCCCACCATAACTTCCTTAATTAGGGGAGGGGGAGGCCTACAGGTTGTAACTTGTTCGAACAAGACTATGTTTTAAAATGATAAAACAAAATTATCAGGAATTTCAGTCAAAGTTTTTTTAATAGATTAACTGACATTTCGACCCAAACATGTGTGTCATCATCAGGTTTGGAGGTCAAGACAAGAACTGACTTCCAAATGATAGCCCCGATGATGATCCATGTTTGGGTTGAAACATCGGCTAACCCATTAAACAATTTTTGAATAAAATTCCTGGTAATGTTGTTTCATTCTTATAATTCATCAGTCGACTACTTACCCTTCTTTAATATGTCATAAAACAATATTGGCATTCTATATACAAGTAAGCATTCTCTGACCATTGATAAATTATTTTATTTCTAGGTGGTAGCGCTGACCAAGGTGGAATCCATACAACTGTGCTGTTTTTTATTGTTTCCGATTCTCAACAGGAATTTGGAGGAAACAAACTATTAGCGTTAGAAATAACTAAGAGAAAATTGAAAAATAGTCCAATTGTTGCCAACTAATGTTAATTTTAACTATTTGTTGTTACTTTATATCATGCCCAAGCTGCGATAAGAAAATGATATTAGATTACCCATCGCACAGTCTTATTTATTATTCTTCAAGTGTATATTTGATGTTTTAATTTTCCACATTAAAAGATAAGCGCTTAGACTCAATTTTATCATGAACTTTTAGCTCATTTTTTTGAACATTTTAAAAAATATAAATGTAATTTTTGTGGTTGTAAATCTTTTTTAGCTTTTAGGTGTAAATATTAAATAAAAAATATATACATAAAAATATATATATTATGATATAATAATGTATGTAATGAATATTTTATTACCCATTAGTGATTGAGAATTATAGTGTCCTAATTGTGAAGGTTCACTGCCTGCATTTTTATTATATTAATTATATTTTTGTATCACTCCATATTTTAAATAATAACAAAAGCGAACAAATTTCTGCCCATCTAACAGGTAATGATTCGCTGATTTTTTTAGTCATGTGACATTTGTTAAATTAATGTTATTGCAATATTGTATATAAATTAGTGAGAATTTTCTAAGGAATATATATATTTTTTTTAATTATAATTTTTTTTTACAATAACTGCTCCAAACATTGTAAATAAATATAATGAACATGTATGGATTTGTAAATATTCAGGGAAAAATGAATTGTGACGCGTGATTCTCCGACAGTCGTATTGTGTGCCAATAAACTTGTGTTGTTGCTTGAAATTCTGCGTCCTGCCCAGTCTGTGAAGGTCTATGATATATTTTTCTCATTTTTAAGTATTAATTTTTAAATATACACTTTATTGTAAAAAAATCCCAGACAAATTGTTATTTTGATTATGGATGATGTCACAAACTCTTTGTATGTAGTATTCGTATTGTTGACATTGTGTACGTTTGTAGGATTCCGACGACCTTGTGTTGTGTTAATAAGACTGTTCAGAGATTTGTGATGTTTTTCGATATTTTCATGACAATTTGAATGGGGAATGCCAGTATGAGTACCTACTGTGTATATATTTATATATAAATATATATATGTATTACCTTTTCCTTATAGAATATTGTTAATATCGCTTAATATATAATAAAGTGGTAGTTTATGAAATGGATTCCTTTATAGCTCTGAACTTCACTGCATAGAAAAAATGCATTTATTGCCGATTCTGTTACGATACAGATTCATTTTAAAGCTGTCGATTAAGTTAGTCAAATTTTTTCAAGTAATGTGATTATTACATTCAATGGTAATTTATCTGTATTTAACTCAAAATATAACACTTTAAAAAAAAATGATGAAAGATTCTTTTTTTATTTATCCTCTCCCAGTGCTCAGTTTTTCTAAATAAGTGATAAACTTTTGCACTTTATAGAAAGTTTTATTGAAACAGTTTTAGGAACTAAAGCTGATGTACCCGTCGTTGATGGGTGGATAGTTAAAATTTGAGAATCTTTTTTTGAGATGGGTTTTGTATTTTGGGGAGAGGAGAGGGTACAAATTCAATTTCATAAAATTGGGTCGGGAGGGGGGTTGTTTTGAAGTTTTTTTATGGTGGGGCTTATGGAAGTCAAGGTTTCACAATAGTCATAGCAAAAAAATTTATTCAGACTATTGTACCACACAACTAAACCGATCACCACCGATCCATTAAAATTTGTTAAGTGTTTAATTTTCATTTATGATGAAGCGAGGAGATTGTGGAGTCGATTAATTAATCAAAAAGAGTTGTATCTCCAATTCTTTAAATTCTACAGAGTTTATCGCTGGAAAAATAACCAAAATAACATTGGACATTGAGTTACCTACAACCGTGTAAAATTAGAACTTGATCTGATTATTATGGCGGGCGGGGTGAAATTTTTAATCTTTTAATATTTTTTTCAAAAAAATAATCAGGCTTCAGCCTGAAATTCCTCCCGCCCCCATAAATCCGCCTGTGCCCCCAGGTGTGAGAATAAACCCGTCACCTTTTACTTTCTTTATTGCACATAAGGAAGAATTGTCATTCTTATGAAATTACTACCTTATCAGATAACTAACAGTGGAGAATTTGATGAATTAGGCTGCACAAAATAATTAATTACTAAACAAGTATCTATAACAAGTAAAAAGTTTAAAAACGAATATGACCTCAGAAACGTAAGATGAAGTCTATGATTAGGTGTTATGTAATGAATTTTGATTAAACTTGCTAGTTTTAGTTAAAGAATGTTGCATAATAAATAATTTATCAAGCTACCTCAGCCAGTTAGATGGTGGTGCTTCAACAAAAGTCACATCTTCATTATGGATTGCTTTCTGCCGCCTCCTCTCTTCACCTAGGGACACGAAGGTTAAAGTGTTCCGGTCCCACAGTCATCTTACACCCGTATAGGAATTCTTCGAAATACAGGTAGTTCTCTTGTTTCATGATGCACAGTCCCGATTTCCTCCTTAAATTTTCCCTTAGTCCTTCTAATATAGTGCAGGTCGTTACTACGTTTTCGGTAGTTTCTAGGACACAGGGGATTGACGTTCTTGCCAAAACTGTGAAGTTTAGCCCGAAAGCCTCCATGCTCCGTGAGGAATTGCGAAACGCAGCAGTCCGGTAGCACCCATTTCACAGTTAATCGAGTGAACTTGGGGTTGTCGACTATCGTAGATTCCATTCCTCGATGGTGTGCTCTCGGATTGTTTGTTTCCTTCTATTGGGCTCACCTGCAATTCTCATTAGCAGGATCCATGCTTTCTCTCTGATAAGGTGGAGAGGAACCCCTCCTGCCAGGACCTGCACTGCCTCGTGTGAAACAGTCCTGTAGGCCTTAGTTACCCGTAGCAGAGCCGTTCGCTGTATGGTCGCCAACCTGTTCTCCTGTTTTCTTGAGGGGTTACGATAGCAGGCGGGGGACGCATACCTCACAATACCCTGCACAACTCCCTTATATATTTTGGCTGGGTATCTGATGCCCCAGAGAGCGCCCAAAATTCGACTGAGCCTATTCAGTGAGAGGTCGATCCTGCCAGCCAAGTAGCCCAAGTGAGGAATTATGTTGAAATTCCTTCCAAATCTCACTCCAAGGTAAGTTATCACCTCACTTGGACGAATTCTCTCTCCTAAAATATACTTATATATATAATAGAGAATATTTCAAAATATTGGACAAGTTAAGAACAAACCAGAATGAATTTCAATAAATTTTGAATTGAAACAAAACATAAATATGAGAATTTTTTTTTTTATTCATGATATATACAACTGTATTAAAAAAAAAAATACATCAAATAAAGTAAATGCGAACTCAGGAATACAATAACATTAAAATGCTTTTTGAGAATCACTTAAAAACTATTGCATATAGTTTAGTTGCATTGGTAGTTAATGTCTTTCTTTTTTTTCCCAAAGTAATTATCGTTAAATATATGAAAAAAAAAAAGCTGAAGCCTCCAAAAATTAAATCCTGGATCCGCTAGTGGCGGATGTTAATAACTTAATAAAAAATGGTCTGTAACACTATAAAGGTTTGTAATAATTTATCGTAATCTTTTCGGCTGAAAACCCTGCTTCTAAGAGAGATAGAATGTGATCACATATCGTTTTATCAAAACGTGTTGAAAATTAAGTAGGAAGTGTGTATTTTATCTTCTCATTATTGTTAAGATGAAAAATGATTCAAAAATGTTACTTAACATAGCATATTTTTTTTTTTTTTAGCTATTCAAGATATTTACAACTTTATTAATATAAATATATGAAGTAAATGTGTACACAAGAATATAATCACTTGAAAATGCTTGTTGCGAAACTACCCACAGGCAGCACTCTAAAAATATGTCTATATAAGGTGATCACGAGGCCATCTTTTTATCGGAAATATATGGAACATTAAGATCATTATGGATTATTTTATTTGTGACAAAATAAGGAGCATTGAGGATTTTAGGAATGATTTTGGATTGTAAGGATTGGATACGAGAAGAATTTGATGGTTTAGTGGAGCCCCGTAGCTCAACTCCGTAAATCCAAATAGGTCTTATAATAGTCATGCATATTAGTCTTTTGTGATTAATTTAAAGTTTAGAGTGTTTGACTAGTAAGTGTTGGAGTAAGCGCAAACGTCCAGCAATTTCTTGTTGTTTCAGTCTTGTATGAGGATTCCAAGTGAGACATTTGTCCAGGTGGAGTCCAAGATATCCTATTTGTTCAACAAGGATAAGTGGGCTGTTATTAAAGGATACTGTAGGAGAGGAAGTAATAGGTTTAATACCATATTTTAAACTAGTAATATAACGATGAAATAAAACTCAAGTGATGTGATTTATTCAAGTCCAAGGACAGCTGAGGACATTTTAATGCTGGGAACTGATGGAGGTACTTAATTTAATGAATGAATCAGACAAGATATCGCGGAGGAATCTTATTCAATGAATGAATCATCTCTGAACCGCGTTAGTCATCGATACTGACATGTTATGGAGAAGGTTGTATGCAGTTGTTTACATTGAGGCCGGATCTGAGATTTTTTCCAGGAAGGGAAATATTTTTATGTTTCAGTTGTTCATTCACACATGTACAATGAATTTTAAAGAAATTTTAAAAGTTCACATTTAGTTAGTAAATTTAATTTCCTTGAAAACATATGATTTCCGTTAAATAATATTATTTTTCACAAATTATTATCCTATATATTATTTCTAAAAGGTGTTTTTTTGTCGATATGCCAAAACTTCGTCAATTCTTAATTAAATCAAATGATTGACTACTCATTTTGAAGATATTCTTCTTCACATGCGAAAAATAGTCCTATCCCCCCGAAATTTCCGGGAAAAAGTTATGAAGGAAAAGAAACTTTATTTGCGAATAACTCAAAAAGTATTTTTTCCTGGATTGTACCCATGTAATTAGAAAGATTACTAAATTACCTACAAAACAAAAAAAATAATCGTATTAATCGGACAATTATTAACAAAGATACAGTCCAATTCGTTTTGGTATACTTAATAATATCTTCCTGTTTAAGGATATTGCATTTAGGAATAGAATAGTCTACTACATTTTTTTTCCTGGCTTTTATATTAACTTTATTATTTCTTAAAAACAATTGGTTGTTCTTACATTTTATTTTTTTAATAATTTAGAATATCCTATGATCCGGCCATTATTTTGTCTTTATTACTTTTATTATCTTTCCAGTCAGCGTTTAAAAATAGGTCATAGCAAAGCAATTTGTACAAATATTTTGGTCTATTATATTTAATTGAATATTGTAATAGACTAACGAAAAAATATCAATTCCTTCCTTACATAATACATGGGATCTACATATTTTCATATTGTTTTGCTAAACTACATAAAATTGTCTGCGAATTTTTCGCACGTGCCAACTAGTTATTTATAATTTTTCTTCACTCCATTACTTTCTACGACTATCTTACATTAGATATTTTTTTCTTCTAAAATTTTCTGCTTTTCAACGATATATTATACGTAAACCTACTGACTAGTATTTTGGAAAATTCATTTTCGAACTAAATAAACATTTTCTATTTTTCCTCCATTTTTCAATTATAAAATTCTTTTAAAAGTTATATTTAGCATTTTTTTTTTGTAACTACCATTACTGAGATATAGTTAATTATTTAAAATAAACAAAATTAAAGGTACTTTAGAGGAAGACACGTTGAACATCTAAGCATTCAACCCCTGTAAAGTGACATCAATAAGGGATAAGACCTCAATGTTATTAAAGACCACTTGATTATATAATAATACACCGAGTTTAATCAAAATCGTTAGAGCCGTTTTTAAGAAAATGTGCATAAAGTTGATATAAAGTGCCTCTTTTGATAGCCGATTTTAACGAAATATTTGCGGTCACATCTAAGGCATATACATATCTTAAATACGTAATATCAGTTTCATACGATTTTTTGTTTTTCAGCTATACTTACTAAATATATACACAGAGACACACACACCATTTTGCGAGACTTCGTTATTTAGACTCCACCAGGGACCTCAAGACGTGTATTTCCGTTGAAAACTCAGATTAGAAAATTTTCACGATCGCAATGGTTTTCCTTACTATATATTACATGCCGAATGCATCCGAGTTTAATATTCGACTCTTTTGGGCATTTCATTGACAAGTGTGGCCGAAGTGATTGTGAACCAAGCGTAATTTGAACGGTCCTGATCGAAATAATTATCAAGTCACGAATGTGCAACTTTAAACAGGCTTACATTAATTAATTTAAAACCATAAATATTAAATCTTGGTTTAGAATATCAGGTATCTTTTACACTTGACTGAAACTCAGGTATGTATACAGTAATTTATATACAGTACATTTATTTAGTTTTATTATGTTCACATATGCACTATATTTATATTCATTATGGATGCACTAACAAACCACCAACGTATGTAACTATATATATACATGTATATTCGTCTCTTAGTACAGATAGAGTTGTATCTAGAGTTATCAAAATTATTAAAAAACTATTGTAAAAAGGTCTAAGAACAAAATATATATTATCTGCTAACAAATAAATTCGATGAAGTGAACAAAAAATTAAAGTATATAAGTACTGTAGTATTGTCTATGTATGTATAAGTGCTTTTTTATTCAGAATAACAGAATAAATAATTATCTGATACAACCGGACTAAAAATCGTTTCCAGAACATAGCAGCACAGTGCCTGAATTAAAAAAAAAGTTTATTTGGTCTTATTCAGTGTTTTAAGAGAGTTCGTTCAATA